TTAAGAAATGCTACGAACTATAAGAATAAACATAAAATATAAATAATAAGCAAGAGATATATTAAAAAAAGTTAAAACATATTACAACAAATTAAAACAATGTTTCGACTCCGATCGGGTCATTCTCAATATTAAACATGTTATATCTTTAAGTAAAATGTTTATATAAACATATATATTTAAAAGGTCAAACGGCAAATAATAATTAAAAGTTAATGAGACGGAATACAGATTTCTGCTTTGATAAAGAAAATGGTGTCATAATTGCATCCTATGGTTATCGCATTGGTATAAAAACGCATTCTGATGTCAAATTCAAAAAGATCTGTTGTGCCGCAGTTTCACGGTACGATTCGCGGATTTTCAGAGGACTTTTGGGAGATGACAAGAAATACCTTTGTTTGGAGTATATTTAGCAGTTTTACACCAGTGGTTTTTTATTATAATTCCACTTAGCACTATTCGCGTAGCGATAGATACTGCTACAATTTCGGTGAGGCGACGAGCAAAGTAACGCGAGTTTCTTTCAAACAAGTTTCTTTCAAATTTCTGACCACAACGGAATTCGCAGTCGCTCTTATATTTTGATTTCTGCGGCAGCCTTGGCCCTTCTGCGTTGGTCCGTCAGCATTCCGCTTATCCGACGAGGCCAGCTTTGCGCACGTCTTGCGTTCGCGTTTCTACTGTTTATACTCAGGGTCTTCTTTTATATTAATTATATTTAATAAATTCGTTTCGGCAATATTTCGGTTTAACTTTTGATTGTTGATATTTTTTGACACGTTCTTGGCGCAATTATCACTTGAGCAATTAGCACCCGTTCCCTTAATTTCTATTTCGCTTTCAAAATTATTACAAACGATCGAAATTTTTTGACTTTCTTTGGTGGAATATAACCACGTTTGAGCCTCCGTTAGCGTAATCCGCAGGGTGGTACTAAATAAGACGTGTTCATTTTCGCAGTTTTGGAATTGTTTAAAAATATTAGTACTTTGTATGGCGCGTCGGATTTAATTTAATATATTGGAAACGTTTGCTCGCAAGTGTATGTCGTGGTATCTTGTATGCATTTAAATCATTTTCATATAGTAACGTATAATGACTATTCTCCTTATCTAACACTATTAATGGGTGATTAATCTTCACGAAAGTAAATACATTCGAGTGGAGGTAAGAAGGTAGAGGTATCGCACGTATTATTTTGTACGTGGAGTACGCAATTATTGGAAACTTGACCGTAGTAAATATATAAGGATTAGAGTAGGATGCGTTAATTGATATATATTTTTGGATAACATAGTATTCCAATTTTCTTATTTGAAATGGAAAATGCAACTCTTTCATTAACTGTGACGCGGCTTCCCGCAAATCTATTATTATCTATTCTAACGATAGCAAACAAGTGGGTATTGACCCTTCCTTTGAGTACACTAAATAATCTAACGTTTTCCCTACGTCCATTGTCAAATCTGCCATGATGGCAGTAAGTAAGATGCTTGTAAATGTTCATCTAAATTTTCTCGTTGCGTATATATGCCTAATTGAATTTCCATTTTCCTCGTAACATTAAACAATAAATTTTCATTATAGGCCATTATAGGCCGTTGCCTTTTCGAGACTACTGATGTGTCTAATAATCGCATTTAATATTTTTAATTAAGGCTTCGCTGCATGCTGTAATACTAGCTGATTATCTTAGTATCTGTAGTTACTCGTTTATTCGCTGTGCATCATCAACATCCATTGTACCGAACAGCGTTTTGCTGATCGCGCCGATGTTCATTAATCCTCATTTATTTGTATTGGAGTTGTATAATATTCTTAACTGTTCTAGCGATGCGGTAAGTTGGATATTTTCCTTTTCTATATTCGCTTCCTCTCAGCTCTTGCACGTAGTCATCGTTCGCGTAAATCAGTTTCGGAGGTTGTAATAGGGCGGTTAGTATTGTTGCTTGATAGCCATATATAAGTTCGAAAGGCGTATATTCTGTGGCAGTGTGAGGGATAGTATTATATAATATGTGAACATAGCGTAGGATAACCATTCATCCCAATTCGTCCCTGTTCGTCGTTTATACAATGTCATACATATTCCGCGAAAGTTCGGTGTGAACGCTCTAATGCACCGTTGCTCTTGGGATGATAAGCCGTTGTCTATATCTTCTCAATTTTTAGAAGTTTACACACATTCTTAAATACTTTAAGAAATTTACTAGGTATAGACATAACAGAGATACGTAGGCTGTTGGAAAAGTTTCTGCAAACAATATGAAAAACAAACATATACAATTCGGTAAATGGATTTATTGTTTTTCGAAGTATTCGCCTTTAAGATCGATACATTTTTGCATACGCTCGAACCAATTTTCGAAGCATTTTTTCCACTCTAAGCTGTAACCTCAGATATCAGTGTACGAAATGTTTCAACAGCTGCTTCAGGCGACTCAAATCGCTCACCATGCATCTTATTTTTATTGTTTGGGAACAAAAAGAAGTCATTAGGTGATAAATCAAGTGAATACGGACAATGAGTCATCAATTCGACACATTATTACTGGATAAAAAATCAACGGTTTGACGTGCTGTGTGACAGCTGGCGTTGTCATGATGAAGGATGATGCAACGATTT